AGCAATAAGGTCAACCACAAAACATGTCAATGAGCCCGATGAAAAAATCTCAATACAAGGATTGAGAGAGAGATTGGAGGCAGAGGCAGTAGGTATGACTTTTGGAAACTGTCCCCATTTAAAGTGTACAATCATATACTGGGTTGAATTGATAAGATCTTTGGGTAACTCTTGTGCTTTCTTATAATTCATAATGATTGAAGAGGCACATTTCATTGGAGCATTCTAACTTTAAGTCAATTGATTCATCTTCATAAAAATGAGAAGTCATAGAGGAATCATCAATAATCAAAGATTTATGGGACTCGGCTTCTTCAACTAGTTGGTTACCCCCAACTGAAACACTAGTTGAATGAGACATCTGAAAAAAAATTTAATATATTAAATGAAGACATAGTTGATAGATGAATACTAAAAAAATGAATTACAGTATGAAAAACTATAAAACAATAAGAATAATGAGAATAAAACCTTAAAATAAGGTTAGAAGTCTATCGGTTTCTAAACTTATTTTATTCATTATATCTACGTTCATTTCTTGATCTATTTTGGATCGGGAGTAGGGCCTAAGGGGTTTCTAAAATTTACTTTCTACATTATTGCTCATGTCTCCAAAATTTTATTCTCGAAGCATAAAGCTTTCGAGGTGCATGCTCCTCCGTTCTGGAATTCCGAGTTCCATACTTGAACCTTATGGTACCTTGAGAATAAAATTTTAAAAACAAGGGAGAAGCATCAGGTCCCTATACTTGTTTTATAAGTTGAGGTCGTTTCTTGATCTATTTTGGATAGGGGCAAAGCCTTAAAGCCTCCCAAAATTCATTTCCATGTATCATGGCCTATGTCTAAAAACTTTTATTCTCGAAGCATGAAGCTTTCAAGGTGCATGGTCCTCCATTCTGGATTTTTTAATTCCATATTTGAACTCCATGGCACCTTGAGAATAAAATTTTAAAAATATGAGAGAAGCCTAGGGTCTCTAAAGTTTATGAGTTGATGTTGTTTCTTGATCTATTTTAGATAGAGGGCAAATCCTAAGGGCTCCTAAAATCTATCTCTGTGTATTAATGTCCATGCCTCAAAATTTTTATTCTCAAAGCATGAAGCCTTTGAGATGCGTTGTCCCAAGTTACCAAAACTAAAAAGTTTTGGGGTCTTATAGTTATGTATCATATAAAATCCTATTTTTTTTATGTTGATATTAGTCCCAAATGCTCTCCTCCATTGATTGATATTAGCATGAATCTTTTGATATCCATGGAGGAGGGCATGAAACTTTTGAGATGCATTTTCATCAATTGTATTATTAGCATGAATAGTCCCAAAAATTATATTAGTATATTGATATTATATGAGATGCATTGACCCAAAATTTGTATTAGTATGTTTTTGGGACAATGCATTATTCCAAAAATTGTATTAGTACGTTGATATTATATGATATGTAACTACTGGGACTAATACAATTTTTGGGACAATGTTACAATTTTAATTGAGATGCATTGTCCCCAAAAATTACTAATACAATTTTTATTGAAATCCATTGTCATTTTTGCATTAGTATGTTTTTGGAACACTGCATCTCAATAAAAATTATATTAGTAATTTTTCTTTCTCTCAATAGAAATTGTATTAGTATGTTTATCTCAACAAAAATTACTAATACAAATTTTATTAGTATGTTGATATAGTACGATACATAATTGAGACATAAACTAATATAATAAAAATTGCATTAGTATGTTTCTCTCAACAAAAAATATATTAATATGTTTCTCTCAACAAAAATTACTAATACAATAAAAACTACCAATACAATTAAAATGCATCTCAATAAAAATTATATTAGCACGTTTCCCTTAACAAATTGTATTACTACGTTTCTCTCAACAAAAATTATATTAGTAATTTTTGTATTGAGGGAAACATACTAATACAATTTTTATTGTATTAGTATGTTTCTCTCAAAAACTTTATTCCCTCAAAAATTGTATTAGTATGTTTCTCTCTCTCTACAAAAATTGTATTCAAAAATTTGCATTAGTATGTTTCTTTCAACAAAAATAACTTTTTAATAATTCGTATGTCACATGCCCAAGGGTTTTTTACTTACTGGGGATTCAAATACGGGACTAGCCCATTAATCTTCATATTTTGATGATAGTCTCCCAAATTGTATTAGTATGTTGATACTAGCCTGTTCATCTTTATATTTTGATTTGAACACGGAACTAGCCCATTAATTTAACATAATTCATATTTTGATTCGAACACGAGACTACCTCGTTAATCTTTAAAATAATGATGATTTAAGTGACTAATCCCTAGTATGTTTCTCTCAACAAATTGCATTAGTATGTTTCTCTCAACAAAAATAACATAATAATACAATTTTTGTATTGGTATATTTCCCTTAATGAAAGTGGTATTAGTATGTTTCTCTTAACAAATTGTATTAGTATGTTTCCTAAATAATTAGTATGTTTCTCTCAATAAAATTGTATTAGTAATTTTTATTGAGAGAAACATACTAATCAAAATTTATTGTATTGGTAATTTTTATAAGGGAAAATTGCTTGGGGGAACCAAATTTAATTGGGTCATGCATCCCCACCCCAAGCCCAAAAACCATAACCAAAAAACCTTAAAATTAAAAAAGAAGTGCAACCAAGCCCTAAAACCCACTGCCAAAAAAAACATTCCCAAATTATCCTTCTTCTTCCCAATTTAAAACCCAATCTCTTTCCTCCTCCTAATCAGGCCCAAGACCTCCCCTCCCCCACCACCGCCGACGTCGTAGCCTACACTCCTACGCCATCGTCTCCTCGTCCTCTTCCCCTGCCCTCCGCACCCGCGTCGACCGCGTGGGCTCCTCGAACCTCACGTGGAACGACAAGTTCCTCTTCCTCCTCCCCTCTTCCTCCATCCTCATCCGCATCCTCTCCTCATCCCCCTTCCCCCTCCTCCTCGACCCCCTCCTTGGCTGAAACCCGGTACGGATTCTAATTGGAACGAGGGTTTTGGTGCCGAGTCTCATCTCCATCTCCAATCTTGGATGAGATCGAGGAGCTCCGATCACCGATTCCTAGGTAATGAAGAACTAGCTAGCTAAAACAAAGACACATGGAACATAACTAGCTAGCCACCTTAAATTGCAACGCTGCGTATTTTAATTAAGGCCTCGATCAACCTCTGATTTGATTGAGGTTAGCAAAAAAAACAAACATGGAGTTGTTTTGTGGACTTTTATTTAAAGTGAGAATCTGGAGTTTTAAGTTATGAATCATATCATTCCATAGTTTATTTGCTAGAAATTTGTAAATTTTCTTTGAACTCTTTTGGGGGCTTAATTCGAAGCTCCATAGCTTGCTCATTTTGATTGAAAGAAAAGGC